GGGGTCGCGCGCCAGTTCCCCTCAGAGGCGGCCGCCATTTTGAGCCCCCTCACCCCGAGGCGCTGGCAGCTCCTCCAGCTCCTCCTCATCCCGCTCCTCCTCCTGCCGCTCCTCCATCAATCCCGAGCCCTTCCCGGGAATAAAGTTAGGAACGCGGCGGGAACGTGGGCGGAAATGGGAATTTTTTTTAGGGCGGTCTTTAGGGAAAGGGGTCCCAAGCGCCCCCGCGCGTCGCGATCGCGCCGGGCGGTCCTAGCGCCGGTGGCTGAGGGAGAAGGAGGGGTTAAGGGGGGGTTAAAACTCAGCGATAAAGTCGTTTTTAAGCAGCGGCGATGGGATTTGGGATAACTTTTGGGATTTTGGACAAGTTTTGGAATTTGGGACAACTTTTTGGGGGGATTTGTGGGGAGAAAATGAGGGGATCGGTTTGTGGATTTAGGGAGCTGTTGTGGGGTCACAGTCGGCGCTCCTGTGGGGGATCCCACGCAAAGGATCTGTTGGCGTGGGGTTCCCCCCCTCTGGGTCGTGATGTTCATGCCATTGTGGGGTCTCGCTGTGGGGTCACCCGTGGGTCCCATTTTGGGGCTCCCCTCAGGGATCTCACTGTGGGGTCCCCCCGTGGGTCCTGTTTTGGGGTCCCCCCGTGAGTCCCGTTTTGGGGTCCCATTAAGGGGCTTCCCTCAGGGATCCCACTCAGGATCCTCCTGTGTGTTCCATTTTGGGGTCCCCCCGTGGGTTCGATTTTGGGGTCCCATTAAGGGGCTCCACTCAGGGATCCCCCTGTGGGGTTCTCCCATGGCCGCCATTTTGGGGTCCCCTCAGGTGGGTCCTATTTTGGGGTCCCCCCCGCGGGTCTTATTTTGGGGTTTCTTTAAGGGGCTCCACTCCGGGATCCCACTCTGGGATCCCACTGAGGGGTTTTCCCCCACCGCGTGTCCTATTTTGGGGTCTCATTAAAGACTTCCACGCCAGGATCCCCTCAAAGTCCGGTTGTGGGGTCCTCCGGCGGCCGCCATTTTAGCTCCTCCCCTCAGGGCCCTCCCCGTCCTGTGGGTCCCAGAAAGGGGCTCCACTCTGCGATCCCACTCAGGGCCCGCGCGTGGGTGCCGCTTTGGGGTCCCATTAAGAAACCGCACTCCGGAATCCCACTCTTAGATCCCACTTTTAAATCCCACTCAAAAATCCCACTCAAAACTCCCGCTCTGGGGTCCTCCGGCGGCCGCCATTTTGGCTCCTCCCCTCAGGGCCGTCCCGTGGGTCTCCTATCGGAGCTCCACTCTGCGATCCCCCTCAAGGCCCGCGCGTGGGTGCCACTTTGCGGTCCCATTAAGAAACTGCACTCCGGAATCCCACTCTTAGATCCCACTTTTAAATCCCACTCAAAAATCCCGCTCTGGGGTCCTCCGGCGGCCGCCATTTTGGCTCCTCCCCTCAGGGCCCTCCCCGTCCCGTGGCTCCCGTTTTGGGGTCTCCTAACGGGGCTCCACTCTGCGATCCCACTCAGGGCCCGCGCGTGGGTGCCGCTTTGCGGTCCCATTAAGAAACTCCACTCCGGAATCCCACTCTTAGATCCCACTTTTAAATCCCACTCAAACATCCCGCTCTGGGGTCCTCCGGCGGCCGCCATTTTGGCTCCTCCCCTCAGGGCCGTCCCGTGGGTCTCCTAACGGGGCTCCACTCTATGATCCCACTCAGGGCCCGCGCGTGGGTGCCGCTTTGCGGTCCCATTAAGAAGCTCCCCTCCGGAATCCCACTGTGAGATCCCACTTTTAAATCCCACTTTTAAATCCCACTCAAAAATCCCGCTCTGGGGTCCTCCGGCGGCCGCCATTTTGGCTCCTCC